AGCCAGGAATTCGGAGGCAGCTGATTTTTTGCTGCCTCCACCAGTAGGCTCCTCCCAGGAAGTCGGCCTAGATTTAGTTTGTTTTTGAATGCTCAATTTTCCAATTGCAATTATGGTAGAGTCTGTCTCTGTGTTGTGAGTTTAAGGAGTTTTCATGGTGTCTTCTGATTGCCAGTTGGTGTTCATTAATGCACTCTGCTAGTCTTCTGCCTGGCTGTCGTATAGTATATAGTGGCTGTTTTAGTCTTCATACTGTATGATGTAGTTGAACCCTGTTTTTTCTTCTTGCATTATTGGGTCTTTTGGTTTACTTAAGAAAACCAATTCTTAAGAAAACAATACTCTAATCAAGGAACTGCAAAGGAGAAAACCACACACACACACACACACACACACACACACACACACAAAACAAACACAACAATACCGGCAGGGCAAGCTAGTGTATATAAACAGGGAGCAAACCCACACTAACTATCACTGATAGCACCCTAGTCAGATAATAAAATGTTTGTAAGCAAACAACAAAGCTCAGAGAACACCAAAGCTCCACAGGTAAGAAACTGCTGTCTAGTGTCTTTGAAGTTGAAATATAGTTTGGAGTCTTTGAAATAAAAAAATAACAATTTTGCATACTAGCTAATCATTTGGTTTTAAAGCAAGTGTTTATATATCTTTGATGTCTTAAGATTTTTAAAAGCAGTAGAGATGGAACCATGCAGAGAATGGGATTCTTTAAATCACGACATTTATAATATTCATAACATTTCCCATTACCCTTAGGGATTGCATAAGATTGTTATGCTTTAAACCAAGCTGTGATCTATTTTCTGATAACGTCTAAGGATATAACTGAGGGAGCTTCCCGACTATAAATTTTTACTGTACTGTTTGTACAACCCTTATATGCTAATAGTAGCTTTGACAAAACTAAGAGAAAGAAGCACTGATTTCTACTTGCTTTTTCAGTTCTTCCAATTGGTGTAACGATTCAGTCCAAAGAGAGAGGACAAGCAAATGGGCCACAGTGATGATAATACTTCCTTTATGTTCTGATGTTATTATCTATTCATATAGAGCTTCAAAAGATTCAGTGTTTATAAAAAGCTGCTATAATGCAAGATAGAAATTATGTAAAATTTGATAAGAAAAGAAGCTCCCTGTCTTTTTAAGAATATTCTGTAATTGTAAGAAAATACATAGTTATATGCATATTAAGGGGCAAGTGCAAACAAAGTTACGAACCCTCTTTGGTGATCTGATTGTCCTAGCAACTAACTTCAGAGGCCTGTGTGTACCGTATTTGGAGATCTGCCATTGCAGGTAACTTTACAGGATCCCCTTTGCAGCAATCCGACACATTTACATAACTGTTCATTGATAAATGGTTTCATTCAGGAAAAATAGGTTATCCTGTGAACCAGGGGAAGTGTTTGTTTTATTTTACAGGGCAACCAGCACTACACTGGAATTTTTCAGTTGGATTTTCATTTTCAAAGGGGACATTGAACATATGTATTACCAGATTTGTAGATCATTTCTGAACTTATTAATGTTACATTAGATGTATGTGTGTATTTGTAGATAAATCAATAAATTGCAATACATTCAATGCCAAACAGAGAAAAGGTGAGAGGGTTCGCTAAAATATATATTTATTTACAAAAATAATAACCTACTGTAGAGCTTCCGTCAATTGTTCAGCTGTTCACCATATTAAGTGCTATATAGTTCCAATTCATTCAACCCAGTTTGAAAATATAAAAGAGAGCATATATCTAAAGTTTAGCTGCAAAATTTGCAGGGCAAAGATGAAGCTATGTCAAAAAGCATCAAAAGCAGTTCTAATGATTTTAATCTCTCAAGCAGAAAATCTTATAAGGATCCATCTCTGCATTTCTCTGGCAATAAAAAGATACGTCTTTGAAGAAAGCACCATATACATTTGCAAAAGATTTGTAATGTGAATTTTGAGGGGCAATCTTGAGTTGAATTCAACTTGTAATCATTATATTGATACATCCATTTTGTTTACTTGCTCATTTTTCTTAATATATTAAAAATCAATTTCCTCTCATCCTATTTGTACATTATAGAAGTACACTTTTTAAAAATTAATATATAATTGGAGATAATTGCACTTTAAAAAAAATGGATGTGAGCTGGAAGATGGTCATTATAGTCATTCACTGTTGTTTAGTCCATGTGCAAAAATATAGGAGAAATACTTTTAAGAAGATACGTTAGAATTTGAAGCAATGTGATCATTAAACGTATTATATAAATATAATATGTTGAACATTGAAATAGTTCTGGTGAAAGGTAGTATATAATAGTTCTGGTAAAGGCTGGAGAAAATTAGATATAGATATAGATGTATCACTGGTTCTGGACATATACCTCCCTTCCCCTCCCTAAATATTTATATTTGGGGTATTTTTATATTTATTTCTTTAATGAATCAGATTGTGTAAATATCAAGTGCTTTGATCTGATCAGATTGATAACACAGCTTTAATGCCAGAGAAGGCATGTTTCCTAAAGTCACATATGATCTGGCTATATTTAGATTAGATTATTTATTCATACATGTCTTTTGATGATTCAGAAGCTCTGACTTACAAAGAATACAACTCATTGTTTTAGCTGAGGGCCAGGATATGACCTACTTTGTATTAGGTTTACTATTGCCAGGGACTTTTCAGAATTATGTCTTAGTGCTTTAAATTCCTAAATGGTTTCGGGCCAGGCGTTCTTACTATACTATCAATCTATCCAGATCTCAAGATAAACCTAGAAGACCTGTTTGGAAGGTCACTAGGAAGAATATTAAATCAGCTCTTTTCATTGTTGCTTCCTGAATTCTTTTGCTAGGCTCGTGCATGCAGCCCTTGTGTTGATGCTTTCACCATGCCATATGCCTTTCACAATTCATAATCATTTTTTTCCCCTGATTCAACTTTTGTGGTTATAAAAGTAGATTTTTATTTTAATAGAAGAATTCCTTTAGTTGATTAGTTGAGAAAGGAATTTATAAATACCGAAACAAATACTAAAATTGAATGTTTATATTTGTTCAAAGAAACATCAAAATTATTAACGATTTCAAAAAATTAAATACGCTAGATGTGAATACATTGCTGTGATTAAATTTTTATACAATGTATATATCTTTAAGCTCAGGATACTGTGTGACTTGAGGGATGGATAATGATTCATTAATAAGAAAAAATAATAATTTTGTATGTAGAACTCTTTAATGGGAGACAGCATTATACTCAACAAAGAAGGTGTTTGTTTTATATTATTATTATTCCTGAATATAATGAGCAAACTACCTTAATATCTTAAGTTATTCAGCTTACATACAAATCACTGTTTAGAATTTTAAACATGTACTTTCATATAAAGGTGTGAAATCATAGGATCCTCACACTTATTTTGCTTTTGTTTTCTTTAGTATGAGAGCCTACCCAAAAGAAGAATGGAATCTGTTCTTTATTTTGAATAATGCCATGTTGATTCAAGATACCTTTACTGGTTTAAAATTCATATAATTTGAAAAATACAGCTTTTAGGTGTTCCAATTGTCTCAGGGTAGTCCATTAATTATTTTAGAAACAATGCAATTTTGCATATGATATTCCAGAACAACTAATAATTATGTGGCATGTGATTTAATGGAGAGGAGATATGGAGAGGCAGGTTAAAGTTAGTGAAGAGAGAGATGTTTGCTCTTAATAGATGCTCAGAGTACTAAAAGTATGAAGTTCATACATAGTTGTATAAGGTTTTAATGCAATATAAATCTTTTCCTCAAAATTACGATGCTGTATTCTAGGGAACTCTACAACTTTTTTTTTCTTTTAGAATATTGAAAATGGAAGATTTGCAAAACTGCGATACTTTACACATGCAATGGTTAATAATACAGATTTATTAATGGTCACAAAAAGGTAAGATTCTTCCAGTATTTCTTATTTTAAACAAAGCATTTATGTGCACTCTGTAATCAAAATGGTTCCCAGAATTTAGACGTGAGTAGAAAGATAGTTCTTGTCTTCAGGTCTACTATGCCAATGATGGGGAAGGGTGGGGCAGGGAAGTGATGAAAGGAATAACATATTTCTAGCTATTAAAATTGCAGTTATTATGAACATCTGGTTGTAATTAGTGCTCAATTTACTTTAAATTAGAATAAAAATAATTTTACGATGGACAAAATTGATTTCTTTTAAGCATGAAAGTGAATTTGGAATTAAATACAGTAGAAAGAACTTGAAGTTAAAGATAAATTGAGTGCAGCAATTTTGATTGCCATCAGGCTTCATTTTTATAGCCAAATAAAAGTGGATCCTATACTTGCGGGAAACCACTAAGATGAAGAGAAAAAGAAGACTGAATGAGAGAATTTTAAACTGGATGTTATATTATATTGAAGATTATTTAAACATTTTTTTCAAAAAAACAGGTTTTATGATTATATTTGTTTTCATTATTTGTTCTGTATTTGTATACAGTGGCATACTGTTTGTGACAAGAGGTACGTTTGGACAGTTAACATGTGAATGGCAGTACACGTACGATGAATTTACCAAGAAACCATTCATTATTGATGGACGAAGGTTGCGCATTGAAGCAAAGGTAAAGTTGTGGATGGTAGAGATGAAACAAAACAAATTATTTGATTAACATTCAAATAGTTATATTTATAATATAAATATTAGATTATTATATTAGTAAGCAATTTTTCCATGAATAATACTTAACTATTATTAACCAATAAAGGATATGTTATCATTTTAAATGTATATATATTTTCATGGAGCTTGAATTGAGTGTATTGATTACAATTCACTCTTTCTTTGCAAATCTTCACCATCTCCCCAAATTATTATTGTTACCTTCCCTTCTTGCTTAGTACCATAGAAAAGTTGCTTGTTGGAAGACAATCTTTTTCACCATTTCTTTCCTCTGGAGGTGTACCTTATAGTTCTGGTCTGGCCAAGAGGCAAACATTCCATTATCCTGGAATTATCCATTTTCTGTTACTCTTATTTCCATGCATACAGATTGTCATCAATTTATGACTGGAAGTTACCATGGATCCCTCCCAAAAGCTACTTACAACCCAGTTTCAAAGTTAATGCCATTGTATGCCCATGGTCATGTGCACAAAAATTGGATGGATTCTCACTTATAACTGACCACAGGAAACTGAAGCCCCTCCCCCTGCCTATATCCCCCACATCCCTGTAGGACTTCAGCTAGTTTCTCACTCCAGATTGTTCTATACTCTCCTCCCACCAAGTCACTCACTTACCTTTTGTAGACCTCTGGAACTCACATTGGAGAAGGAAAGCAGGCTGCTCCCTCTCTCAACTAGGGAATATGGTGCCATCCTATGAATGCTGGCCACTACAAAAATCAGACTCCTTTCAGAGACAGGCAGACATTACCTGTACATTACATTCAAAAAAGATGCTTAGTAATTAACCTTTTTTCATTTAAGAGCATTTAGGTTATTGCACAAATCACGATGCAGAAACTTTCCCATGCCAAGCGGGACTTCTGAGATAAACGCTTGCAAATTTTGCAAGAGTTTAACATGCCAGAACAATGAATAAAATGATAGGATTCTCCTTCACTTACTCCCCCCACCCTTTGCATTTGGGATCCTTTCTCAATCAGTACTCTCAAAAAGATTTTATTTAAATAGCTGTACTTAAAATTCAGCTTGTACAATATTAAATATTTAACTTATTGTTTTATATGAAACCTTTAGCATTTTTTTTATTTTAATGACTGGCAAAATATCTACTCTACTACACATACAAGGGTCTCATCTTGTTGCAGAACAGTCTTATGTAGTCTGCTGTCTTAGAAATTTAGTCTTCCCACATAGCAACTTTTTCCAATCTAGTGGTCTCCAGGTGTGCTAAATCAGCTGAAATCCAACACATTTGAGGATATTAGGTTAAGAAGATTTCTGATGAGGCATATTTTTCTCTAACTGCAGCAGTTAGATGCTGCTCATCCCCCCCCCCCCACCGAATACTCTAAATGTTCAGAGAGAAAAAGTTTACATTTGAGAGCCAGTCACAGATTGTTTTGGGGATTTTCTTTTTTTTGGGGGGGGGGGGGAATCTGCAAAACCTAAAAGACATTTTCAACAAATACTAATTTCATTATAGAACTTGTAAATCTTTTCCTGAAATGGAAAAAAATAGTTCTGCTAGGTATTTGGAAATTTGCTTTTAATGTACAACTGTATTTGTTTGCTTGTTTATTTCAGGAACGAGTGAAGTCTGTATTTCATGCCAAAGAATTTGGAAAAATAATTAATTTTAAAACACCAGAAGATGCAAAGGTGAATATGAAATGCTATTACTACATAATATATTAATATCCTGTTTTGAAGGAATCAACAATGTAATGCACAATATGTGGATAGTGAATAAGTACTTCAGTTGTTGGTGAATTACAATTCCCATTGCTCTTTTTCGATGCTTCTTTGTGATGCTGGGAGTTGCAGATAGATCTGAAGTGCCCAGATATCAAATTTTTCATAGTAGAAGCAGGAAGGCATGGGTGTGACATTTATCAGAGAAGCTGTTTTCATCCAAGTGTGGCTTAACCAGGTAATTCACAGTGGTCATGAGAGTAATGACACCACATGAATTGTTCAGTGCTTAGTTCTATACTTTATTAATTTGTAAACCCCCCTTTTTTATTAAACAAATAACTTTTGCTTTAACTTAGGTTTGTTCAATGTTTTTCTTTTTAATATCCACAGTGGATCCTCTCTAAGCTGGAAGAAAAAGTAAAGGAGATTCAACCAAAACTATGACCAGTTGAAGAAAATCAGAACATTGTAGTTGTTTTATATTTCAAAGCATGTGAGACTATTTAAATACAAAGAGATTGACACGGTAATTTTGTGTATTTAAATCAATTGTTTTTTAATCTTCTACATACTATTGAGTGAAAAAAGGTCAGCTTTATCAATAGGCGCAAGCAGCTCTATTGCTGAAAGCTGCTATTGAATTCTGACTTATTTGATTTTGTATTTATAAATATTGTTTAAATCTAAACTAAATTGGTTTTATTTTTAGATCTGCCATTTTTAAATCAACAAGACCAAACATCTTAGCAGAGTCTTATGATGTAGTAATCAGGTTCTTCCATGCTCATAATTCCTTTTATTCTGTTTATTTAAAAGTAATGCTGTACTGATACATCCCATTAATATTCACTGAAATTCAGTTTAATTCAGGAAGACTGATTTAACCAGCAGTGTTCTGATATTACCTTGCTGACCTTGCTTTGTTTGAGAAGCTTTTTGTTTACTAATAGATATAAATACATATGTATATAATGAGGTGATTTAATTTTTGATACAGATAAGTTTATGGTACTGTAACACCATTTTTAATAATCACATTTTTATATAATAAAAAAATTAACAAAATGTTCTGTTGTTACACAATTAAGCAAATATCTATCAAACAAAATAAGAAATTTTAGTGATTTTTTGCATGGCGGTGGTCAAAATGAAGTCAGAAAACTATCAACACAGCTTCATGTTTTAAAGTACTAGTTCATTTAGGCATGAGCTATATTTGGGATTTGAAGTCAGAAGCATGTTTCAGAGTGAATGGGGCTTATATCCCATATGTCAGCACCTCCGTAAAGAAACTGACTTTTTCTGGACTTGCTGAAGAACACCAGGAATATGCATGTGTTTTTGTAGCCACTCTGAAGTACTGCATCAGCTTTGAATCATAGTTTTTCATTTAGGAATGAGTTACATTTTGGATATGAAGTCAAAAGTATGTTTCAGAGTGAGCATGTCTTGTATCATACCTCTTGGCATCTCCTTAAAGCAGTGTTTCTTAACCTTGGCAACTTGAAGATGTCCGGACTTTAACTCCCAGAATTCCCCAGCCTACTGGCTGGGGAATTCTGGGAGTTAAAATCCGGACATCTTCAAGTTCCCAAGGTTAAGAAACACTGCTTTAAGGAGATGCCAAGAGGTATGATACAAGACATGCTCACTCTGAAACATACTTTTGACTTCTTTTGGACTTG